TACACACCGGTTGAATGAAGTTCGTTGCCTCAAGCTCCCTCAACTGTTTAGCCAAGAGACCAGTGTCATCGTGGTTTGTGAGGCTAAACAAAGTGCATGAAAAAGCATCATTTTAGCTACCCTTTCCCAGCTGCTTGATGTAAAATATGAAACGAATCGGGAAGTGAAGAGAAAGTCGAGTAAAATAATCGCAGCGCTCTACAGCCAAGTGGCAAGAAGATATTGTGTTTGTCTCTCTCCCTCTTCCTTACACTACCCCTGCTGGTCTAATGGGGCAGCTTCAGTCGTAGCTAATTCATCATGCACAAGAGGAAGAAGTAGCCAATTCACCACCGCAACTTCACACCTTGATGCGCTAATGGGAGGTAATGACCGCTAAAGCATGCGTGAAGATCGACAGTTGCTACTAGTAGTGGAGAGCTCCAAAGAGCCGCTAGCGGCAGACACATAAATACCACCAAGTGTGCGTAGGCGGAGGAGGAGGATGAAAGGGGTATTGGCTACAAAGCGGGATTAAATTACTTCAGAAAAGGTGAACTTACACACCAACCCAATGCGATTTCTGTTAAAGGTGAAATGGCCCTGTTTAGACATTTAGTGAATGACAGAGTGGAAGAAGAGCAGATAATTACAAACCTTGAGTTGAGAAAGTTTAGGTAGAACCTAGCTAGAGCTAAAGGGACGCAAAAACAATATGTAATAAAAGTAAACCAGAATGGCCGGCAGGGGTTGGATACAACCTTAACACCCTTCCATGCCTACGAGGGAAGGAAACATAAGTTGCCACAAATTTACAGCCTCAAGAGACTTTAACAATTGCATTCGAAGGAGCCCTTTGACGCCTTCGAAACTGGGTCAAGTTCAAAGTCACATGACGAGACCTTCTCACCACCCAAGGGAGGTGACTCGCACGACTCAGGCAAAATTAAGCAAATGAATGCAAGCTGCGTGAATAATTAAAAGTTTAGTCATGTGAGAAGAGTTGGATGAAGATAAAGAACTGGCGCCGCCCCCACAAAAGGCGATGATGCTATTCGCGGCCGAGCATTACTGAAAAGTACAGTTTGACGCGCTAGCAATATGGATGAAGCCCAACTTAACTATGGATTTTAAACAAGGTCAGTGAGTAAAAAATCGGTGAATATGTCTTGCTGTAAATAGCCTTTAAACAAGTGAACAATGAATCAGACAAATGACAAAGTTTAGCGCACGTCAGTCGAGAAAAGGAACTGGACCTGTACATAATAAATTAACACAGCTTTAATAAATCTGCGTTGAGGCCATTGCGACTCCCCCAGTCCTTAGGATTGAAGTGGTCTTCAGGTGAGCAGTCTACTCTTCCAGTTTGGAGCACTAAGTTAGAACGAGACCTCGACAACTCATTTGGTAAGGTCTCCGTGGTTCGCAAGTGTGCATTCCCACAGTGCTTTAATGAACGTAAAGCAACGATCCCGCGGGTGTGATGTAACTGAGAAGAAATGAAGATTTTCAACTGCACTTCGAGTCTTTCATGTGTTAGCTTATGAAGATGTGATAAACAGAGACCGTCAATGACGTGGAAAGGGGAGCGCAATACTCGCTTAGCCTCCAATGACTCACAAGACCTACCGAATGAGATCGTCCATTGAAAGCACATTGGGATAGGCATCTTCCAAAGTTCTTAGCAGGCCTTCACGAACCACAAGTTCTACAGGCCTTTGATCCACTTCTACAAGAAAAAAAGCACTAAATGCTCCTGTTAACAAAGAATGAATATTAGACCACCAAGGACCTAAGCAAACCCTCATTTGGACTACATGAGAAGAAATTTTAAAATACCGCACTTGAAGCTACTTCGCGACTATCAGCCTGAAGAAGAACCCGCATTGTCAGAGCAATGAAAGTGTAAGAGTTGAAAGTAATCAAAGATCCACAAAGTAGGGTGCAAAAAGGAAAGGAAATTATCCAAGACATAGTAAAAGGTAAAATGAACATCCTGGGGTTGTACGAAGTAAGGCTACCGATGAAGTGATTCAACATTTGACCCGTTTGAAGTGCTTGGGGTAAGTGACAACGACCAGAAGGCAAGAATGACATCTCAGATCGTTTCCGTGTGAACAACGTTGAAATCACGAGAGTTGTTTATGCTAAATTCGAGGTGCACGGGATAGATGCTGCAGTTCAAGGACCGCCTCTATCATAAACAGTTCGCTAGCAATCAGCTTCAGTGACATTTTAAAGCTCTCTTTCAGCATTACTTCTATGGGAGATATAACCAGGAGAAAGAGAAGTCAAGAGAAAGTATTTCCCTAACGCAAACCCAAATTAAAACTGGTTCAAATAAGAGCCGTATTCTATCGCGTATATGGTTGGATGCATTTCCAACTGCAAAAAAAATTTTCCAGGTCATCAGCACGAGAAGCAAGCCGCCGGCAAGAGCTCCGAAGCCCAAAGGCGTAAAAGTGCTCTATCTGCAAAATGCTGTTTCTTTTTTGCCTCAAAAAAGGCTTATCCTATCGCATAAGTGGTAGGTCATCGCAGGAGAGTCGACTGAAGCATGATTGGTTGGCACTGGGAGCAAAAGCAGTGAGACGACTTGTCCCTTCCCAACACAGCCACCCTTCACACGAGTGAGCTCTACAACACTGATCGAGTTGAAGGCGGAGACGATGCGCCAGAGTATCAATACTACTTGTACTGCTGTTGATTTTCCCGATTCCAAATAAAATTTCAAGGCTCTTCGTTTAAGTAAACACAAGTCATCAGGGGTGTTCGAAGAGACCGCTTTACTAGAGGGAAGGGTAAACACAAATCGTAGGGTCTGAAGCCTGCTGCAGAAGCACAAAGCAAAGCGATGTCAGGGAGCCTGACATTCACTAAGTCTAAACTAACACACAAACACACACACAAAATTACAAACCTAAAGTAACATACAGCAATTCACAAAACGAACTTTGGGCTGTAAAAGATAAACAACTTATAGAATTTGCGACCAATAAGGGAGGAATTTGCGGCAGAACTATTGGAAATCCACTTTTAAATGAACATATTTCATTAGTTACAAATCTTAAATAATAAAAATGGTGAAAAAAATTAGCATTAATGGCATGTGAAACCACCTCAAGGGATGTTAGAGAAAAAAGCATTTATCCCAGTGTCCATTTACTATCCCAAGACACAAAAAATAAGGCGCCTTTCTCCACAACAATCTACAATTTGATTCAGGTTTCAGAATGGAAGAGTTTGTCCGGACCAGCCAAACAGATTGATTTAGTTTTAGTCTAGGTTTCTGAACACCTCGGTCTGAAATCACACCCAGTGATTCAGCACCGTCTTACAATTGTTAAATGAGGACACTGGGTTTTCGTAGCACACCCCAAGGCTCTTCACCGATTGCGCACACGCAAAGAGGAAACGCTGGAGTTGGACAGTAATGAAGAGAAGTAAATGCCACGGCGTTTCAACAGACGCAATCCCCTTATGCTTTGAACAATCAAGTAACTAAATTGACTATGTTATTGCCAGGCATTTCCAAAGTCAACTAGCACAAGCTACTACAATACAAGCGGATATTGACAGTTAGATTGAGCAATATGAACAACGAAACGTTAAGTGAAGGGGATGACCAAGGGGTTGGTTATTTCGATCAATAGGGAATACACTAGTCAAAGTGCAGTGGACACTGACAGTTGGTGGGGAAAGCGCAGTGATGTGTCAACCAATCAGCGGGAAATAAATTAACATATTTGACAAGAACAGGTACCTACTTCTTCGGAATTCGGGATTGCAAAAGGAAAGACAAGTGATAAGAAAACCTTTTCCTTGTCTTACTGACTTCTGACTGAAAGGAGTGATTACACATTCGCAAAATTGTGGATAAAAGCTACTGTGCATTCAAAATCAGCACCCTGTAAAGGCAAAATTCTCAGCATTAAAGCACTATATTACAACTGACTCGATTTGTGGATATGAACTAGGCGCTGAAGTGAATGGGTTCCCAAAAATACAGCAGACAAATCAAAAACGGTAGCCCCAATAGCAATGACTAAGCACTGCTAACAGAAAGGTGGCCATAATATACCACTGCCGAAAGTGTCAGTCCCAATCAAAAAAATCACCAAAAAGGGTATCTAGCGTAAAAAGAAATGAGAAAAAAGGTCTTAACGGAAAGCCCGTCCGCTAGCGATTCGCTACCAATCTAGATGTATTAAGACCAATGTTAGTGCGGATTAGTAATTTCATGAGTCCTACGATGCAGTGTAAAGATAGATCATCAAAATGCAAATCAAAGACGTTTTGCTGCAATAAGTAGTAAAGCAGAACCAACCAGGAACAAATGCGTCTTGTGAACACGGTTCTAGAGGCACGATATCTAAGTCAACCCGTCGTAAGTTCGGATAACGGTCACTTTGAAGAAGCTTCAGCATACGTTTGATAAAACCAACGTAATCTACCAAAAAAGTAAAAGTTTAGAAAATGATGCAAGGTGGATAGGACTACTGATAATAAATGGGGTAATAGATACCTTTCGGGAAAGTTTCTTGATTAACCAGGTCCTTGAAAAAGTCATATGAGTCATGTAATTTTCGATTGCGATCAGTATCCTTGATGAACCAGAACTTAAGACGGCGATTTTCCTGGAAAAAGGGGCATGTAAATTATAAACTCTCGGCTATTAAGTAGTAGAGATAAGGCATATATTCATGCGGAGCTTACAAAACGGCATGTGTGTAAAGTTATGCTTATTTCTGTCAATGAAATTAAACACAAAAACTTATTCAACAGTGATTAAGGCGAAATTGGAACCAATAAAGTGCCAGCATACGTAAGGCTCATGTATCATCAAAAGAAATCATATAGCTAGACAACTCAAATTTAACTATGTACTACCATGATTTTCAACTAAAGTATCCCATTAGGTACATTTTGCACCTAAGTAGTCAACAAACTTGACCCAAAGTTGTGCACAATGCTTGAGACTACAGTTTTAAAGGATACGAAGTTAAATCTGACTACACCAAAATATTTTTTGCTGTTAAAATTTAATATTAAAGCACTTAGTTCTGTGCTAACGAATAAAAAGAGAAGCTTACTCCAATAAGGAACTGAACCACACAAAAACAACTTACAGCATGCCCCTCCTCCGTTCGACTGTTATGCATTAAACAGGTAAATTCGAGTTGAATTTCCTGCATTTCTGAGTCATTACACGATTTCGAATTTTCTTTATTGACTATGATGCCGTTTAGATGACCACTACCCTTGTGGTACACCTCTGATGGATCCGGACTCAAGTCACGCACAACCTGAATGGTTTTGACTTTGCCCTCAGTACGAGGTGTCATTGTCACAACTCGTCCAACCATCCTCGGTAGAGCGCAAAATTACCCCACTAGCTTACGTATTAGAAGTCTGACCTTGGAAAATAATGACCTACAAAATAGGATTATTTAAAAATACGAAACAGTAGTAGTTTTAAAATTCGGTAAAACAACAAGTAAAAGGCAATCTGCGCCCCATTTAATTCTTCAGCTTGTTGCATAGGGAGTGTGGTGACGACTGCTACCACATTGCATGAAGGTTGTTTGTTCGTCCTACGACTATTTTATTATCAGTGAGATTAGGTTAGTCAAATGACTAATGTCCTTGTTCACATAGTCACCTTGTGACTCTGCGAATAGGCATCTATCTGAGTACATCACGGCACCATGCACTTACACCTTCACTTAATAATTAATTCCAAGTCAATACTTTAATTCGGTTGGTAATTTTACAAAGGGCTGTATTGTAGCGTCCCGAGACTCCCTGAAGACGAAAGAAGACAAAATACTCGGGCAGAATATATATATTCAGCACGGGGAAGGTGTCT